ACACCTTTTATTACCAGCCTCGGTGAAAAGTGCAGTTGTGAGCAAGGATCCATTCCTTAGGCCTTTCACCAGCTTGTAATCCTGACAGAGAAGGGCTCCTTCTCAGAGAGACAGAGATTTGCAGCAGCAGGAGTTAATTTTTCCAGGGCTTGTAGTGATAGGACAAGGGGCGACAGTTTTAAACTGGGGGTATGTTTAGATTAGATATAAGGAAGAAATTCTTTGCTATGAGGGTGGTAAGACACTGGGACAGAGACATTGCCCAGAGACACTGTGGATGCCCCATCCCTAAAGTGTTCAGGGGTTTTGAGCTACCTGATCTGGTGAAAGATGTCCCTGGTTATGGCAGGTGGGCTGGACTAGATGATCTTTAAAGGTCCCTTCCAACCCAAACCATTCTATGACTCTGCTGACATGACAAAGTGGTAGGAAATTCCCCAACAGGGTGTCAGAGAATTTACTCTGCAGTAGACTCCAAAGCACTATGAAGTGAAATTCTTCAAAGCACAAACTTTTTCCCTAGGTTAGCCATGAGCCTGCTGATATAAAACTGCCACACAGCTCCTCCAAAGCTCTGTTCTATTCAGAAATCAATAAAAATAGCAACCTGTCACTTCCTTAAGCTGTGGTGATACCACACTTGTTTCATGGCCCAGGTAATTTTCCACAGTCCCTTAGTGGGAATGATTGCTGAGTGTACACACACGTGAGTACATGCTTTCTTAGTCACCTTTGGATTATTTTATATCGTCCAAGCAGCTCCATTGAGTGGAAAAATCACTAGCTTAATGCTGTAGAAAGATGCAGAGAAAATGAGGGCTCACAACAGAGGGGTCATGGGATATAGAAACTACGTAAAACAAATTAGAACCTACGCTATGTTGGCATCTGGCTGGGTAGATAAAGTCAATAAAATCTATGACACTAAGGAAAGCGCTTCTCTTCCGGTATTTAGAGGAGGCAGCACAGATATAAAGGGCTACGGCACATATTTTTGTGTTTATACAGATCTCCTCATTCCCTGGGGGCTCTTTGCACTGGCCTTATATGGGAAGAAATTCTTGCTTCTCTGCCTGCATGTGCTTCCTGTGGAAGACCTGCCAGACCTTTCCAATATTATGTGTCGTGTGCTCAGATTATTTATTGAGAATCAGGCACAGGAAGCATTGCTAAACATCCCCAGGTAGTTTACTTCCCTTCTGTGAGGAGAATAAAGCCTGATGTGTATTTCTGTGAAAAATAATTGCAGGTCCAAGATTTTGCTCCCAGACGACAGACTTTACCTGAAAGATTCTTGGCACCAGAGGTTGAGGGGTCAAATGCTTTGATGTCAGAAGTTAAATGTTCCTTCACAAAACACTGAAGTCTTAGAAAAAGCAGATGGTTTCATGTGGAAACTACCTAAGCATGAAATGATCTCACAGGTGACTCATACCTTATTTCTCAAAAGCCAGAGCAAGAACTGTTTAGGAACTGTAATTATGGGTACGGTCTGAGATCCCATTGACTAACTTTTAAGTGAATTAGGATGCAATATACTACCGTTGACAGCTTCCTTGAAAGGGATGATTTATTAGCCTTCTTTCTGGGTGAGGAGCTGATTTTGGTTTATGTTGATAGCCAAAAGCCCAGAAGTTTTCATCACAAAATGAGCTGCTTCTGCAGCTTGCAAACTTTCTACCCGTAATGGGGAGGAGGCAGTGAGGTGATGTACAGTGTGCAAGTGGTTTAAGAGCTTACAAGGAAATGAGTAACAGAGGACTCCCGTCCCACAGTGTTTTGGGTTCCTGGAGATGAGGGTAGAATGTCTGAGTTAGTAGCAGAGTTCTTCACAAGAAACATCTTTCTTCAGTGTTTGCCAAGAGCTAAACTAGTGAGTTTAGTCAGAAGCTTAATCAGAAGGCAGCAAGGTTTAAACAGAGCTACAGACATTTCTGTTCTTACAGTAAGCTGCAGCTTCTTCTGGTCTGTGCATATTTTATTAGTTAACTAGTTTTATGTAACCTGAATAGTGAGGTTATTAACCTATCATGGACATCAGGTTTGTAACCCAGGTAATAGCGCTCTGTCACAGTACAGCTCAGCCTATTGCTGCTGGAGTAACTGGGATCCGGCCACAACTTCCTGTCTGCAAGGTCTCTCATCAAAATATCCTACCATTCACACACAAATGTCCTGGGAGGAAACAGGGTAGTGGTTCCTTACCATAAAGATCTGAAGGGACATGGGTAGATCTCGCTCAGAGAGAGGACATACATACTCCCAGTTATTTTAAATGATTATTTATTAATTATTTACTTGCACTAAATGCAGCATTCATTTAAGCTTGTGGTGACAAAGTGCTCATTTTTTTTTTTTACAGAGAGATAGGTGGGCTCTTCAGGGATAACAGTGCTCATGAGTATCTGTCTAGCTGGTCTGAGAAGTAATGAGAACACCCCTCTGAATACACTCACAGGATTTACATATGTTTGCATCCACGCTGTGATCACAGCATAGTTTGTGCAGAGGCCCTTTGAAACATCAGTGACGCAGGTTTTTGTTTTGTTCTGTTTGGGGTTTTTTTGGGAGTGGTGGTGTTTTGATTTGTTCGTAGTGGGTAGGAGTTGTAGGCACGTTGCAAGTAGTATGGTGTGAGAAACCATGTAGTGACACAGTGAACTCCCTTCTCCTGCCGGTTGGTGAGCGCGAGCAGCTGCCTTGTCCTTCGAGCTAGTAAAGAATGTCCTGCAAAACAAGGACCTTGTTTCCTTGTGCGTAAACTTCAGTAAGGAGATCCTGATGTTTTATTATCGCCGTGGAACACTGAAAGAATTCTTAGTCTACGGTTTGTCAAATACATAATAGAATTAATGACTCTGTTTTTGAAAGAAGAGATTCTCCTTTCTCCATTCCACCTACTGGGTTTTGTTTGAAGTGGAAAATACCTTGTATAACTTTTCACTTCTCAAGTTTCTATATTTTAAAATAATTTATTTAAAAAATATTTATTTATTTTAATTGTTTTTGCACAAAGATGTACTCTAAACTCTTCGTTTTTCATCTGTCGAATAGAGTTTGGAAATGTTAGAAGGAATGTAATGGATATTTTTTCTTAGTCGATACAGTAATCGGCTCTTTGCAAAGAATACAACATCTGTGCTGCAAAAAAAAAAAAAAGTTGATATTTATCTATTTTGAGGTCTTTTACAAGTGGAATAACCACAGGTAAGTTTATAAACCTATCATCCAGATATGCAACTTTATATCCAGCGTATTTGCAGTCCACATTAAACCCCAATAACAACGCATCAGAGTAAGGTGAAAGGAAGATAGTATGCCATAGCTGCAAGTAATGCTTACCTTTCAGATATTTAAATCAAAGTTTCCTTATTCTCAATAGTCATAATGTGGTATGCTAGTGTAAAATTCTGTTTAAAATATGGCATGAAGACATTAAAGAAAAAGACAAAAGAAATGGAAATAGACACTATGCTTTTCTAAAACTTAATAATTTGATATACTACAAGTTTCAGCTGAAAGGGGGGGTACTTTCAAGTGGGAGTGTTCTTAAGACTTCTAGTGGTGCAGTGGCAGTTTATGATTCTGTATTGGATTATTCTTTTACACATTATTTCTATTAGAAGTATGGGCAGTTGGCTGTGTCAGCTTTAGTGGCTTTAAAGATTGTTAGTAGATTTTCTTGGTGTCCCCAAATCCTGTTGAAGGCAGAGGTGATCAAAGACACAATATGTTTACATGTTTTGAAAAGCACAGATCCTGTTAGCTTGTATGAAATATTTGACCAGTTGCAAACACACACACACAAAAAAAAAAATCACAAAAAATAACCTATTAATGGGAAGTTTGCAAAAAGGGCTAAGCTGGTCACTTAATTGTAAATTTCATAAATCAAGATATTGATTTAGAAGACAGTAAGTAATGAGTGTAAATCCACACGATACCTAGATTAGCAGATGTTTTTGTATGTAATTTAAATATACACATGTACACCTTCATTTGGAGGAAAGTTGTGTCTCCAGTGAAAATTTGTAGACAGTAAACTCAGTTAAATTATTCCAGATAACATTGTTTTCTGCTGCTTCTGACAATCCTGAATTGACAAAGAGAACCATTGGTTTCAATAAAGATTCTGTAAGTCCAAAAGAAATGCAGCACTAAAAAGTAGTTTTCCTTTAGTTAAATAGATTTAAATGCTGAAAACCAAATAACGATATCTATTGTGTTGAGGGCTTGATCTCTGCTGTAGCTGCTGTGACATTTGATAATGACTGCTTTGAAAAAATATTTGAAATTGACATCCAGCCATTTAAGTTCAGGATTTACAGTAAGCTTGGAAGAAATCTCCCTCTGCAAATTACTCCCACCACCAAGGCACTTGTCCTCTTGGACTGTCAATGTGAAAGCCATCTCTTCTGAAACTGGTGGGCAGAATTCTGCGTCTATGGTTTTGGTCTCAAATTTTTATTTTGTAATTTTACTGCCTAGCCTTACAGGTGTTCAATTCATATTGCAAGAAAAATCAGTGACTATCAAAGTATTTATTTCTTTTAAAGTAAGGCATAAGGAAAATGTGCCTTGTCAAGTCCAAATGCAGAATGAATAGATGTGACCAGGGAAAGGTTGGATGAGAATACAGTTGCATTATCACTTGCTGACTGACAACAGTGTTTGAGAGCCTAGACAACATTATTCCTGTTTTATATTCAGTGTTTGTTAGCTTTTATTCTGAAGACACATCTCTAGAAGACACATCTCTAGACAATTCCATAGAGAGTTAAATTAATTCAGACAAAAAACAAAATCATGCCATCCTTTGGCTTTTTTCCCCTGCATTCTTTCATTGCCTCCGTAGCCTAAATCATCGTACACCTTTTAAAGACTCAGGGCTACAAGTTCTGCAGGCAGGATCATCTCATGGTGTAGCTGACCTGCAGCAGTGTTGCATCCGCTTTCTCATCGATGACTTTCTCCATCCTCCTCTCTCACTGCTGCAAGGACTACTCAGAGCTGGGGGAGGCAGCAGAGTCCACATCTTCTGTGTCATGTTCATGTGGGGATGCTGGTTGCCCGCCTTTCACACGTTTCCACTTCATCCTTCTGTTTTGAAACCATACTTTGACCTGGGTGATCAAAAGGAAATCATTACTTCTTGCCTCAATCTGAGCTGTATAAGCAGGCTTGTGCATAAATATGTGTATCAATAGACAGATGTGTTGTGGAATTCTAGAATAAAAGGTGAAAGGAACCTCACAAGTTTAAGTAATCCATCTCTCTAACAAAGCCAGAAACAATTCTTTCTGAACTGTTCCAGGCAGGTGTTTCTCTGAGACCTGCAAAGGTAGTACAAGTGCTTTGCCTAGAATCTGTCTTTATGTTAACTAAGGATGTCAGTCCAGTGGGCACAGCGCGTCTAATATCTTTTAACATCTGGCCCATCCAGTCTAGTGCGTCAGGAATTGTAATTTGCTTTGCTTAATTGAGCAATTCCTCTATTGTCCACTAGGCCTTGATAAGGAAACCCTGACTGAGATCACAATGAGAGAAGAGAAATATCTCTCTACAGAACTCTGTATTTTTGTCTTTCCTTATCACCTCAAAATACTACCTGACCCAAGAAGAATGCATGTATCAAACATATATCACGCTAATAATTTCCTGGTAGTGGCAGTCTAAGGTGATATTACATCTGTAAGCCTTGACATACCAGTTTGTACCAATAAGTGGTAGTAAACAACAGCTCAATAGATATCAGCTATACCCAAATGTGTCTTTAGTTTAGATAAGCACAATTACATTTAACTACTTACAGAAATTTGTAACAAATGTTTTCTAAAAGAATGTGGAGGCTTTGTATTAAAATACCTCTGTGCCATTGCATGAGTACACCCTCAAGTAGCATATCTACTTTTTAGCTTTAGGGAGAAGTTGTAGGGGAGGAAGAAGAAGCTGGGGAGGCAGGGATTCAGGAAGTACTTGTCTCTCGGTGAGATCCAGGTTCACAGCTATCTCATATCTCCTGAGCCTTGTCAAGTAGTTATGGTGGGCAAATTCAGCTTCCAGTTCCCGTAGCTGCTCCTTGGTGAAAGCTGTCCTTTCCTTCCGTGATTTGCTGCTTGTTTCTGCCTTGCTGCTCAAGTTCTGGTTTTCTAAGAGGCAAGCACACATATTGTGTAATTTGCAGTTACACTGGTCTCTGTGAACATGTATATTGCAGAGGTCTGATACAAACCACTAACCGAAGTGCTCAGTGGGAGTTTTAAGAAGTTTGTGTTATGCCCCCTCGAGCTCTACGCGACTTACTAGTGTTATCAGACCTGGGTTCAGTGGGACAAATGTGGGACAGCTCAGAGTCAGGAAGGGGTGTGTTGTCAGGATTGTGGAAGTGTAGACCTGGGTCAGAAGTGAGCAGCTATGGGATGGAAGCTGTCATTCCTTGCTATCATTGCATTGAAATAGTTTCCTTCCCCACATCTTTACTTTCATTCCTTATATACATATTATCACTCTGTCATGATCTACCAAGCAACATGCAGCAAAGCATGTGTATGATTTGTAATGTGTTACGAGTGCCTGGTGGTGACCTCTGGTGCAGGGCGTAAGGTGAAGTCACTCAGTAAGCACCCTAAGCTAGCATATGGCCTGGAAATACTGTGTAGCAGGGGGGGAACATGGTAAATACAAGCAACACCAGAGAACCAGTGTTCTTTGAGTTGGCACACAATACTCCAGACTTTGAGGTTCTTCTAATCCATGCTAAATGAAAACTCCAAGGAGAGCTGGGATCGGTGTGCATGATTGGCCTCAGTATCATCCTTGTCACTGTGCTGCCTGGTAAAACGTTTTTAGTATATGTGCACTTGGCTGCAGTGTGGTCAAGAGTCATATTTCAAAGCCAAATTTCAAGCCATAGCCAAAGGGATACTGCACCAATTATGCTAAAAAACAAACACAAACTAACTTTGCCTGAGACTGTGGCAATCTTTTTTATTTTCTTTTTTTATTATTATTATTTTTTTTAATTATCTTTTCTCCCGTGTTTTTAAAATTGGTGCTTGTGAAGAATCTCCAAGCAGTGCAAGGAAAAATACACTTGTTTCAGTGAGTGAAGTCTAAACTGCCAGTCTTTCAGGGAGTCAGCTTTACTAGTTCCTTGACTCTTTCTCCCCTCTTGCTCCTGTTGTTGGCTAGATTCCCTGAACTGAAGATGCTAGTAGGTTTTTTGTTATGTTGGGGATTAATTACTTAACTTCTGCATGTAACCAGTGTGCAATAAAGTTCTGTGTGTTCTAGCATAATATTTCTACATAGAAATTATACACAAAATGGTAGCGATGAGCATGACATGCTGTATCATCTTCTGGATGTCCCTTTGGTTGCCAAAGTAATAAAGCTGGGCAGATGTGTCAGGTGTGGCTGTAGGCTTCAGGATTGATCTAATGTTAGCTCTGTCCATCAGAAATAGAGAAACCAAACGTAGCTCCCATCAGTGGTAATGTGCACAGGGAGTAGTTTGTCACGTGCTGCAGCTGTACTGCTCTCTATTTGAAGGAAATTAGTCTGCTCTTTGGAGCATTGACATTGTTCTCGCTACTTACACTTCAAAAATCCCAAATAAAGTTGGGGAAAGTATGAGAACAAAACCCCAGAAGTTTCTCCCTGTGGTTTTGCCCGTAGTTGTACAATCCTCTTCATTCTTATCTCTTACTGAAACACTCCATTACGTTTCCCAGAGGCTAACAAATGGGACTTTTGGGAGGGTGATGGGGAAGTGGGATTTGAAGTGTGGGTCCTCTGCTGGGAACTTTGCCACCAGCTTCTGGGAGCCTTGGTCTCAAGGGTTTCTTCCTGCATCTCTGTTTCCCTAGCAAACATGTGGAGATGTGAAGCAGCTCTCCAATGCCAGTAACACACTGCAGGAACTAAAGCCACCTCTGTCAAATTAACCTGGGATAAAAATAGCTAATGCAACCTCAGTTATACATGTGAGCTCACCACTTAGCCCTGTGCAGAGGACATCCTTTTTGAGGGGCAGTTTCACCAGTCTTTATCTCCAAAAAACCAATGTGAATAATTTTGAATAACTAAGTATTTCTTGTGAAGTAGTACTTGCACTCTCTCACTGGATGAACTGGTCTGCTAACAATAGCCAGTAAACAATGTTTTGGAGGAAAGGACTCTGTACTGTGCAGATAGAGGATTTTGGCACTGCAGAGGGTACTTGTGTTGCTCAGAGAGCAGCTCAGGCACAGAAGTATGGGGCTCGCTAATACCTTTATGTGGAGGATTCTACCTGCTTGTTAGATGTTTGTGCTGATCCACAGCCCAGATCAATGCACCCGGTGTTTGTTATTCTGTAAATTACTGTCCATGTCTGCAATTTTTCCCTCAGTTGAATAAAGTAAAACAAAAATACGAAGCATCTGCACAATGTTACTTTTTTTCCCATACTAAAGACTTTCAGGGGATATTTATTCTAAGTGGTTAAATCAAGTAGTAAGACACTGATCAGTTTGTGTGTGTGTGTGTGTGTTATGGGACACACAATTCTGAAATCTATCAGGAACACTGGCCAGGTAAATTGATCGTGTAAATAGTGGATTCATTTGGCAGCTGATTATAAAGTATCCAGAAGCTACTTGAGTGTGCACCTCATGGAATAATGCTCAATGGAGGCTGCATATGCATGACACATGGTGTAATGCACCCAGACCACTTTAAACAGATCAGGGACTTGCCTGTGCTTTGCTTTTCAGTTCTTCTCAGGTTATCTGCTGCTACCTGCTGCTGTCTCCTCTTACCTACTGCTTTTTATGGCACCATGACTGTAAATGGGAATTGCAAGCTTAAAAAATCCTCTTTACAGTTAGTGGCAAGACTGAGAAAGGCTGGCAGGTGGGAATTCAGATTAGCTCTACACATTTTAATACAAAGTTTTCTAGAATTCTTCGGTCAAAGACACTGGAAGTCTAATGTTGGAATTACGCACTGTTATCACATTCTCATTTCTACTGCAACCTCACTAACATTCTGTATGATAACATTCTATAAAATGAAGCTCTCTGAATTCTATTCTGTTACTATTGTTGGAGATCTGGGGACTCCAAGTGCGTAATAACGCAGGTACGATTTACGATAGGTCAGGCAGACTTTATTGAAATTTCATTTGACAACGTTAATGGCTGTGGCCTGTGGATGGACAGCAGAGGCAGCTGTGAAAACTAACACTAGGTTAACTTCTATCTGCAGGTCATTTGGTGAGCCTGTGAAGTCAAGGCTGAGTATGGGATCTAAATAACTAACGTAGATAGAGGAAGGGATGTTTATCCCTTATGCATGTTTATCCACGTGTGCTTGTAGCAGATGCTGCTGTTGTTATTGTCCTACTTTAAATGTTTTTAATTTATTAGTGCTTCAAAGAAAGTGTTAAAGATTGGTGAACTTTTTAATTATTTTTACACCATTCTGCTCATTTGTCTGAGAAATATGTTTAATTTAGACTTCTCTCAGAATACTCTGCAGAGAGACATGTTCCAAGATCTTCACTGTGTATCTTGCAATAACTAGGGTCTTCAGAAGAACCAAAGGTTTTTGCACATGCTAGTACAAATCATGGTAATGCTGTATCTGTACTGCAGTTCAGGTAAAATTGTGGTGGATAAGGCACCAACTAAAATAAAATAGTTTATATTGTAGGTTTTGTCATCAAGTGATTCAGTGTATTTTTCTTTACTAGCCCAATTTCTGAAGAGAAAACTCTGGGTACCTAGATTTTTCTAAAGAAGTCAAGGAATATTCTCAACAGGAGAGAAAAAACTCATGTTCCACTTAGAATAAACAATCAGTACGTGACTTAGAATAAACAATCAGTACGTGTCCAGCTGTATTTCTGGAACTGCTGTAAAAGTGAAGGAAATCACAATAAAATTGCTCATAGACTTTTCCCTCATTTGTTTAATTTTGTCTGGGGACAGGAAGAAGGAAAAGCTTGCAGGATGGATATCAAATAATTCTATCTACTGCCTGGTAAGCAAAGAAGGGAGTGAAATGAAAAACCATGGAATTCCCCTTCAGATGTTTTAATTATTGGGAAATTTTTGCCCCAAACATGCTTTTTCAATAGAAATGAACTTAAATTCTACAAAGCTGGGTTTCTAAAGAAAAATTCTGGGCATAAAGAGGTTTGGAACAGTAGTTATTTTATGTGTTCCCTGACAGCTTATTCATATTCGAAGAGAACAGAGATTAGGGCTAATTGAGTGACGGAGAGAGCACGAATACAAACTTTGTTGTTTAAATTGCAAAATGGAGAAATGAAAGTTGGATTAGAGGTGGCTCTTCTGCAGCCAACCTGTAAAATCAATCAATAAATAATTAAATATTTTTATAACTGTGTTCTCTACCTGTAAAATGAGGATACTGGAAAATACACTTCATAGCAGTGCTGTGGGAAAAAGCACACTGTAGTTTGTAAATGAATACTATGGCAAATGAATGCATGTAAGTGTCTTAATTTTTAGCAGCTTTCTTAGGAGAAAATTTTAGGCATATTTCACATATCTGGATTTGAGACAGCAGCAAATCTGAGGTTATATAGCTATGAAACTATTGGATATTGCACTGTAGAAATAATGTGTTTTGCTAGCTAGGATGACACAATAAAAACAATGTACATTTTCTGCATTGCTGGACATTGTGCTGATGGGTGGACTTTTAGTACCTCCTGTTTTGCATTAAAAACATTAAATATTTAGTGAGGCCAAATAGAATTTATATGTAAAGGAAGACTTTGCGTCTTGTACTTCTTACCATAAACTGAGAGGTCAAAATCCTAGTGTATAACTTACAGCTGGCATAGGCAGCTCAAGATGGGGGATCTTTTATCTTTGACTGCCATTCTCTTATGATTCGACAAATGGCAGGTGTGCATTGTATAACTCCACATCCTAGGACTTTCAGCTCAGTGTACACATGCCATGTTATTCCTATTTAGTTACAGCAAATGGGCATTGTGCTGGTGAGTAAAATGCCTGGTTCAGTAAACAAGATCTGCAGGAATGAAATAAAAACACCAAAGGTCATCAAAGAATAAGTGGTTTGGTTTCAGTGTTGTTATTGTTTCCCCAGTCAAGAATTACAATATGTTTTCCCCATCAGTTTTGTTTCTTAATTCCTAATCTTACACGTGCTCGTATACTATAGCTCGTACTATCCCACAACCCTGATTTCATGTCACCTACCTGAGTTTTCCTTTTTTCTTTTGGATGACTTTTTCTCAGCTTCATTTGTAGTATTTACTGGTACCTCCTTATCTTCATTCATACCCACTGCTGCACTTACTAGATTTGGGCTGCTGCCTTCTGACTCCCCAGAACCCAGTCCTGGATTTAGTTGTCTTCTGGCCTCAGTTGCTGCAAAATGCCAGTCAGAGTGTTGGAAAGGGAGGTGCTGCTCCACAAATGCCTGCTCCTCACGTGGGAAGCTGTGGGGAGCAGTCACCAGGCAGGAGGTTGAGAAATCGGAGTAATCAGCAAAGTCTGATTTTTGATGGAAGGAGAATGGTGCTGGTGGGTAACGGTTCAGCCCTGAAGCTGTGGTGACATCCGCATGGATGCTCCGCAGGCATCCCCAGAGTGGGGCAGGAGGTTGTGGACTGCGCATGCAGCTGCTGCTGGTCGGATCCATTTGCTTCCAGTCCTGTCCACACTCCAGTGTTCGTGACTGGTTATAGCTCAGGCTGCAAGATCAGAAGAGGAGCAGAGGGGAAATCTTCCAAATTTTACAGAATGGATTTCCTCCCTAAACAACAGGTTGTTTGTGGGATTTATGCTGTTGCAGATTTCTTACTTTGGGAACTCTTCCAAATGTCTTCATTGTCCTGACTGGAAAACAGTAACCAGATCTATGCAGTGATTGCCCTGAATTGCTTCCCAAGGCCTGAAACTTGCTTCCTTGTGAAGTGCTGGACATGAGTGAAACCCTTTTTAAATACTGTGCTGGGGAGAGAGTGACAAGTTTGTGAAGTGAAATGTGAGAGAGGGGAGGGAGGAGTTAATGTACATACTCAGTCCCTCCAACCAAAGCAAAGCAGGCAACTATTAATCATCCGAAACCTTATATGCACATCTAATGGGATTTGCAGATGGAGCCTTTTAAAGAAACAATGTCTGTATTTTTTTGCAGCACACAAAAAAGGCTTTAATGTTTCTCTGTAACACTGTGAAGTTATTTTTATTGCACTGTTAACAGAATTCCCCAAGTCTTGGATTTGGAAAAAGCCCTAATACAGAATTCAACAGAATCCAAATTTTAAGAATGAAAGTAGGAAATAAAAATAAGAAAGGGCTTCACTGATTATATGTAATTTAAGGCCCAATCTTAAGTTTTAAAGAAGTATTAAATCTGGCTTGTACACATATGCAGGATTTTTGTTTGTTCACATACATTTGCTGAGAGCTGGAGTTTGCTGCCAGTGGCAGTTATTCTTTCTGTATTCCACTTCCTAGGGAATTTTCAATATGCCACTCCTTCCTGCAAGGAAAGCTGCTTTTATGCCTATGGAAGACTTGTTTTTCATCTTTTGTTGAAAGTTTTATAGTTTTTCTTAACAGCAAGCAGATTCTTAGACCCTAGAGCCAGTTGAAAAGACATTAATAGGGAATCTATTCTCAATCCCTTTTTCACAGAAGTGTGGCAGCTGGGAATGCCCAAAACGCTGCTGTGTTAGTGTTACTGCAGCTTCTCTTGAGGTTGTTCTCCATGATTTTAATGACAATTCATGTGTGCGTGTTCAATGTTTCCATAATCTTCTGGCAACCATTTCCAATTCTTATTCCCCTAGGCCTTGCTATACGTTGTGTGCACCTCTACTCCCACCGTTGGAGGGAGACCATGCTGGGTTTTATGTCTCACGTAGACACAGAGATTTAGCAGACGGACATGGAGCCTTCATTTTTTCACAGGGGCTTAGTGATACTTTTATTTGGCTTCTATATAATTCAGAATTGTAACATTTCAAGGAATAACGAAGGAAAAAATTAGAAATGTGTGAATTCAAGCCGAGGTCTGTTGTTTTTCAGTCCTACTTTCAGTCTACAAAATGATCTCACTAACCATGCAAACATTTCTGTCCTTGCACGTGTACTTGGGGGATAGAAGGAAAGGGAGGATTGGCCATTAGTCTAGGAGTAGCTTTAGGCTCCCGTTCAGGTCTGAGCAGAGGCCTGTCCATAGGGCATGACTCCATTCCTGCACATCACTTAGCATTCTGAGTTATCTTTTCCCAATGGAGCTCTCACTGTTATTCCTCTAACTTCAGACATGGGAAAAGAAGATGGCATACCCTTCCCAAATGTGAGAACCCTCAAGTCTTGCATTGCTCCAGCACCCTCTGCAGCTGGTGCTGTCACTCAGCTGCTCAGCAGGGGCCTCTTTGACCTCTACATCTTCCTGACACTTCATTCCTGAAAGAAGAAAGAACAACAATACTCCCCTCTTGCTAAATCCCATTTGTTGGTTGAGGCAGCCACCTTTAACCTTTGTAAAGTCAACATCTCTTCAGTCAAGCACTGTGTAGGGTAGGAAAAAATGGCATGGAAGGAGATCAGTTTTTGTAAAGAATGCTCCCATAACAAGCTGAAGGCTGGAAAGTGGAGATTTATCTTTGAGCTTTCTATCAGTGCATTCTGTGACTCCCCCAGGAAAGCATTTCTCAGACATCTCGCAGATGGAGAAGCCTCTGAGCTCTGTCTCACCCTGAGACCTTGCACAGTAAGTTGCATAACTTCATGAAGGTGAAATGACAAAAGCTGTGCCATGTCTTCACCTCCTTTTTCTGGCAAGGCAATTTTCCTTCTCAATAAAGACAGACCCAAACCATCTCATGCCACTGTTATGTAGCCCTCTTCTAAATCGCCTTCGTGCTTGTGCTGTTTCTTGGAACACGGCAGCTTTCTGGGGCAGGAGCCCTGATCTCACTCTGCTTTTGCTGCACCTGACCCAGTACAATTGTGTCTGGTGCTTTTGCACCTTGAATCCAAAGTGATTTCTTAGGTTACAGATTTTACTCTTGATTGCAAGGCAAAGGAAGATTTAGCTTTGCAACAGAGCGATGCTGGCTAGATGCTTATCTTGGCAGAAGTTTAAGAAAAACTTACACGCTTGTCATGGAGAAAACTCTAGGTGGTCTGCTCTTGAAATTTTTGGCTACTAGAAGTAACTGGGAAAGATTCCCTCCATCTGTGGAATTTCTCGTACATGGAAGAACCCGTGTTGTTAACTCCAATGTGCATTTTAGCGCTGATGAAACAACGCTGGGGAGCAGCAAATAGCTGATAGCCAATACTAAATTCAGGAAGCTGCTGCTTAGCTGCAGAAGTGAAAGATGGAAAAAGTTTATTAGGATATTTGGTCTCCCTACAGGTAGTTGTTTTGTTGTTCTCTACTAGGCATTTCCACAGAATCATAGAATGGTTTGGGTTGGAAAGGACCTTAAGGATCATCCAGTTCCAACCCGCCTGTCATGGGCAGGGACACCTTCCACTAGATCAGGTTTTTCAAAGCCTCATCCAACCTGACCTTAAACCCTTCCAGGGAGGACCAGCCACAGCTTCTCTGGGCAACCTGGTCATTTTCTAGGATACTGCCCTATTGCCCAGACCCAAGTGGCTGACACAGTTTCAGTCTTCCACTTGTCCTTTGGGAAAGACAATTCTACATGCTTTCCTAGTGTCTAGAATCAGTTCCTACTTTTACTGACTCCATCTCCAGGGCCACGAGGTTGATGCGAGGGCTGGAGCAGCTCTGCTGTGAGGACAGGCTGAGAGAGTTGGGGCTGTTCAGCCTGGAGAAGAGAAGGCTCCAGGGAGACCTTCTAGTGGCCTCCCAGTACCTGAAGGGGCTCCAGGAAGGCTGGGGAGGGACTTTGGCCAAGGGCAGGGAGTGACAGAACAAGGGGTGATGGCTTGAAAGTGGCAGAGGGGAGGTTTAGATTAGATATCAGGAAGAAGTTCTTCACTGTGAGGGTGGTGAGACACTGGCCCAGGTTGGCCAGAGAAGCTGTGGCTGCTCCTCCCTGGAAGTGTTGAAGGCCAGGGTGGATGAGGCTTTGAGCAACCTGGTCTAGTGGAAGGTGTCCCTGCTGCTGGCAGGGGGGTTGGAACTGGATGATCTTTAAGGTCCCTTCCAACCCAAACCATTCTGTGATTCTGTGATCTCATTATTCTGAATAAGAACATGTTGGCACTGCACAGGTGGAGAGCACTTATTCAAGCATTTTATAATTTTATGGTATCTATCATAAGCCATCTTAAACACAAGGCAGATGTATTTCAGACTTTTAATCTTTCCTTTAAGTCAATCATTATAGCCTCTTAATCACGCTTCTGGTGCTTTGAATTCTCTCCAAGTTGTGCTAGGAATGAACATTCACTAGCACCACACTGAGATTGTTGGTAGTTTCTCTCAGTGAAGAAGGGAGAATAATTTCTGAAGGAAACCTCAGCATTGCAGGATCATGAAGCTGTTTCCAAGGGATTATGTGAGAGTTGTTGTGTTCCCCGATCTGCTGAATAGCAGCATTTCTCTAAACAATGAATAGGAGGTTAGGATAAAAGCCATTGTAGCAAGACGTTCAGAAATAGAGATTTTAAAAAAAGATTATACTGTGTTGGCATTGACACATAAACAAGGAAGAGGGAGGATGAGGAGTCTAAATAAAAGATTAGAGCTGGCCCTGAGTTTACCTTATCTGCTGTGTATTTTTTTGACATGTTAAAGTATTGCAAGAATGGATCATGATACCCGGCATCTCTGAAGTTCATTTTCAGGAGCATTTTGCAGATATATTTCATGAATAGCTGCAGTTCTTATTCTTACCAGAAACAAGTTCAATAGCTTTCTAGAGGCTGAAGAACTAGAGCCATAGTCAGAGACTGTAGTTCCCTTTTACAGCTGAGTAAGGCCAAGAGAGTATGACCTGAGGCAGGAACTTTGTACTGAGTAGGTGATATCTCCTGCATCGGATGGTTAAGCTTACACCTGCTGAAGTCAGTGGGACGTAGCTGTTGGCACACACAGGTGAGGATTTAGCACAATTGCTTGTTCGCCTGGAGAACTGAAAGTGCTGAAACTAGCCCCAGACTTAAAATTCTGAAACTGAATCTTAGGCCTCTTTTAACTGCACATGCACTTATGAAGACAATTCAGCCTCCAGCATTCGTTGTCTTTTCCACTGTAGTCAATGTGAGTTCTTTAGAAAGTAAGTCCCATGCTATCGGAAAATCTTTTTTGCAAGAATAAATGGCTTTAGCATACACTGCAGGAAGCTCTCAGCTGCAGTGAGTTTCATCAGGTACATCCCATGGAAGGGAGCAGAGCTGCAGCAGGGATTTTCAGTACTCAGGAACCTGCGTTGAGCCAGTGATGGGGTGTCCCTAAGGGCCTCCTCACACACTAAGGCCATTCCAGTTTTGCAGATTATTTTATATATGAGAGCTCAAAGAATTTGACAGGATTATATGACTTAAAGCTCATTTTCACTTCTGAGGGAAATAACTGTCCAGTGAAGCTTGGACTTAAGTTAACTGAGGCATAGGGACAGGGACATCAAGCAATTCACTGAGGGAAACTTCTTACTAACAAGATCTGTCCTACTTAAGGCCAGAGAGAAGTGACCATAGTATAGC